TTCTGCCGTGAAAGGATGATCATTCGGTGTAGCTGTAGAGTGTACTTCCTGTGAGTGCACCCTTGTCGTCGCTACACCAGGGAAGTTGTTGACCAGGGTCCGACCAAGCATTTCCGCGTGAAGTCGTCTGCGTCGTTGTGCCAACGAGTTGTGGAAGGCAAACTCCACTATCCCAATATATATTCGATTCCAAGTCACCAGCTCGTTAAGTCTAGCGGAGTGGTGTGTGTGCAAGTTGCATGCTGCGGCCAGCGTCGACTCTCGATACTATGGGGGCCCGTCGGGCCCCCATACTATCTCCGTCCCGGGCTCAACAAAAGGGAGCCATTCGAGATTTGGTCGGACTAATGCCGACCAGTCAACGCCTTGACGAGTGGCCTCAGTCTTTTGCAGGAAATTCCTACAGTCCAGACGTAGCTTGTCATTGTTCCAAGTGAGTTTAAGAGGTGTTGCTCGGCTGGATTCCACCACGCGCTTGGTGATAGCGCGGATTGACTGTACCATTGTAGGAGCACCCAAGGTACTGGAAGCAGGGGCAGTCGATCACTCGACCCGTGTTCTTCCGTCTGCAGAACGTCGTGGGCTCGACCCTGTCGGGCTTCACGCTCAAGAACTCCCCGTTCCGCACGTTCAGCATTGTCACGTCCAAGCAGACCACGCTGAGCGGTCTGACGCTCGACTCGAGTGCCGGCAACGGTTTGGCTAAGAACACGGACGGCTTCGACCTGACCAAGAACGACCACATCACCATCACCGGCAACAAGATCTACAACCAGGACGACTGTCTCGCCATGCAATCCAGTACCAACACGGTGTTTAGCAACAACCTTTGCTGCGGTGGCCACGGTGTGTCGATCGGGTCTCTCGGCGGCAACGCAGTCGACCAGTCTTCGACGGTGCAGGGTCTTACTGTGCAGGGCAACACCATTCAGAACAGCGACAACGGTATCCGTATCAAGACCATCGTCGGTCTCAAGGGTCTGGTCTCCAACGTCAAGTACGTTGACAACAGGCTCCAGAAACGTCAAGAACGCCATTGTCATGCACTCGGACTACAGCAAGGCCAAGGGGGGCTACACAGGCTCTCCCACTAGTGCTGTCACGATCGAAGGTGTGACGATCTCTGGTCTGACCGGCTCGGCCACCAACTTGTACGACATTGTTGCCAACCCGAAGGTGGTCTTGGGTTGGACCTTCTCGGGCATTAAAGTGAGCACCTCTCAGACCGGCAAGGCGGTCGGTCAGACCAACAGCGTTAGCGTGTAGAAACCTGTAGAATCTGTTGTAGTCATGTGAATTACCGGTCAGATTGCAGCGTAACGACAACTTTGATGTACTTGTTTTCAACTCTCCAGTTTACCATGGGTTCCGTTACAGTATTCGCTCAGCAGCCACGGATGATCTCGGTGGTGATTTTAACTCACAGTCAACAACAGCCAGCTACAAAGTGTATTAGTTTTCTTTTGCAGATACATGTAAAAACTTATAAACGATCAAACTTTTTGATCGTCTCGGGACCAACCTGCACATAAAAAGGTAAGGAAGAAAACGCTATTTTAATGTAAAATAGTACCGTGTCAATACAAAAACTGTTGTTTACCTTTAAGTTCTTCAACGAATCGTTGAAAAAATGTCTGCCTAAAAGTATAGGCTCGTTGCAGGAGACCAGCCACCTTTGGTACGCTATCGTATTAGAATACTCGCGGTCGGAGTTTTAGTGACCAAACACCTCAGCCTTCACCGACTCGGAACACATGATGCCCCCAAGCCACCAACAGTGTCCACTAACGCTAATTCTTGATAACCCGCTGGCGACAATTTCGTGAGATCGTAACCCCCCCCCAGAGTCGTTCGAACGCACCAAAACCTGTTACAGGTACAGTATAAATCATTGGCACTGGTTATTTTGCCTGACTGAGCATCGACTTTCCTAAATCATTTATTAACGGAGGTCAGTGCATAGTCGGGCGAACCTTTGAACCAATTTGTGGTCCGTCGATTGGGTTTTATACCTACAGTATTAATAAGAACAGAAAGGCTAACGTGAGACCTCGCCTTTTAGGACGAAGTCTACTTTCATACGTCTACAAACATGTAAATGTGCTGGATAGAACACAGTGTTGTCAATACGCACTGTGAGGGCTGCGTGCCTGTGCAGAGATGCACATCGAAGCAGCAGCCAGCGAATGGCACATCATCGAGCACTTCGGATTGACGACACGATTTTGTGTCACGAATGCAACAGCACGTACCCGTAGCCTGTCATAAAAGGTTAAGCATTTTTTTTACGGTTATAGGGGGGGAGCGTGAGTTTATTTCCTGATGATCTACTGTACATAAGATACGATATGTGAGCAGCTGTGCCAAAACGAATTTATTTTGTTCCTTTGGATACCTAGTATCAAAACTTTGAGCCCAGTATCAAGAGTAGCAACTCCGTTTACGGAGACCGGCAAATCAGCGAGCCGATCCGTCAGCTTGCGACTGTACAAGTGTTCCTACCGAATCGAGCAGCTGGAATTGCCGCGCAGACTTAATGGGAGTCAAATGCCTGCGAATTTCACGTGCCCCCGACACCAGGGTTCATACAGTATTATTAAAAGGCCGTTCCAGCGTGCTCACGCCAACTTGCACCGTACATGTTGAAGTCTATCGATTAAAATGTATTAAAATTCTGCGTCCATAGAAGCGGATCGCGCTGGCCAAGAAGTTAAAGAAGTACAGTACTGCACCCCGTTTTCGCGGGGTGGATCATATAGGATCTGCAAATAAATCCGATTTTAGCGGACAATCAATAGTTCTATTGGACTCAGGATCATCACATCCGGACGTTTATCAAAGGTCCAAGGGCGCGAATACGGGGTGCAGTACTGTATTAGTGTACGAGCGCAAGGCAAATCGGGCCACATGGCAGTGCTGACTAGCTGCTGAGGTCGTACAGTATACCACTAAGCTGAAGCGTATGGCAAAGTAATGGTCACTACATTAAGTCGAGGTTTACCCACGGGAGGTAAGGGACACTCGTATCGCCATTTGATTCCGACTGATCACTTCTCAATTCGCCTCGGTAAGCACGGACCAACTCAGCTCCAACAAGAACAATGAAGCTTCTCTCCACTGCTCTCGCCGTCTTCGCGCTCCTCGCTGCTACAACTGAGGCCTCGCCCATGCTTCGCCAAGCTGCAGAGGGAAAGAAGTCGAAAACCCCAAAGCCGACCGCGGCACCGGAAGAACAGCAGGACCAGGTCCAACAGGATCCGGTGCAGCAACAGCAGCAGCCGACGACGTCGGGCAAGGGATGCAACCTTACGGGCACGTACAAGAAGGGCACCGACATCTCGTCGTGCAGCCACATTACCGTCAACTCGTTGTCGGTGCCGGCGGGTGTCACTCTTGATCTGAGCAAGGCCAAGAAGGGTGCCATCATTGAGTTCCTTGGCACCACTGTCTTTGGTACTCAAAAGTGGGTTGGTCCGCTTGTTCTGGTCGGCGGGACTGACCTGACAGTCAAAGGCACCGGTACTCTTGACGGTCAGGGAATGTGGTATTGGAAGCAGGGTCAGGCAATTACTCGTCCCGTTTTCTTCCGCCTCCAGAACGTTTTGAGCT